TTTCGGTATCGGTATATACCGAAGTTCGGTATTGTCGGTATCGGTATATACCGAAGTTCGGTATTGTCGGTATCGGTATTTTCGGTATCGGTATTTCGGTATGAATACCGATACCGGTGCATACCTACACTAGTAGAAAAAAATATGATAGATTAAAAAAATCGTCTGTTAACGTTTAGTTAGTGTTCTCCCAAGGTAAATTTTCGAAAAACTTTGCGAAACACCTTCACAGTTCTTCGAATTCGACCGCATCGTAAAGAGCATATACGAAAACCTATGATACAAGGGTTTAGTGGGCAATAACTTCACTTTTTAGCGCTCAAACACGATCGAAAGTGGAGTGAGGACCAGAGTTAAGAGCAGATTTAGAAGCAGCGTTAAAAACTGAACCATATGTGTCTTTTAGGTTTCTATGATAAAATGACATTTTGCTAATTTCGAAACCGGCCAAGAACTCATCGTTGTTTGGAGGCAATTTTCGCGCTAAAACTAGTACTTAGAGCATTCTAAACACATGTTTTATAGGTTTGCAAGTATGCTCTTTACGATGGCTCTGTTAAAAAGCCAAAATACTGCTGTCTGTTAACGTTTAGTTAGTGTTCTCCCAAGGTAAATTTTCGAAAACTTAGCGAAACACCTTCACAGTTCTTCGAATTCGACCGCATCGTAAAAACCATATGCGAAAACCTATGATACAAGGGTATAGTGGGCAATAACCTCACTTTTTAGCGCTCAAACACGATCGAAAGTGGAGTTAGGTTTTTAGACGTTTCCGAAATTCGCAAAAATTTACTTTATCCTAGATGAGTAAAAGACACATATTCTGGCTCAGTTTTCAATGCTGGGTCGAAATCTGCTTTTATCTTTGAGTTTTGACCGAATTTTGATCGACAAAATCGCGAAAAACTGAAAAATTCCTGATGGCGCATCATATCATTTAATATGCCTGGCCATGACAAGAAAATTTTATCTGAAAAGTTTTTACACCAGTTTTGTAGTATAACTTATAATATAGTGGGATCAATTCCCAGCCTTATAAATCTCGAAAATGGTTCAGAAATGGAAAAAAGATCTTCAGAAGTTGTAACTTCTCAAGTAATCGTGTATATGTTTGAATTTGATACAGGATGATTATAATCTTGCATTGTTTTTATCACATAAACCAGATGAGAGTCTTCTTCTTTACTCAATATTATTATGCCACCACGTGGACTAGAGCCATTGTGTCCTGATAGACGACTGTATAATGTACTAACTGGTATATTCCACTGATGCTTCATTAATAGTCATTTTACCGTCTTTAATTGATTTAATAACTTCGCCAATGTCTACGTTTGAATAAGTTTGAACTCTTTTTCTTACGTAATTGCGAACCATTTCAATGCAGACTAATCTGAGATAAATTAATAAGAACAAAATTCAATACACAAAATGCTGAACTAGACTACTATTCTGTTGCTCAATAATATGACATGTATATGGCACTGTTCTTTTTGGTAGATTTTCTGTACAAATTATATAATCCTGGTCTATGGGCGCTGAAGAATTGTTTGGCAAAAGCCTTTTCATTTCTGCTCGTAAACGGCTTTGAGAATAGGCGTGTAACATGAGAAAACTATCTCCAAAATGGCTGGCCGGACAGGTACGAAACTTGGGGCCTGAGAGTTTCAAGTCATGCTCTTTCTTTTAGTAAGCGGAAATTTTTTCGAAAACCTTTAGAAGTAGGGTTTCTAGAAAACCTAGGTTTTTGAGCTATAAGTTTTTTAAAAGGGAGCTTTTTTAATATCTGTATGATGCAACTGAGATAGATAATATAGGGCTCGTTCAAACGGCATTGGAAAGAGTATTAAAAAGTGTACAAACGTAGGGGTTTGGCAGTGTTGACATATCACCTGATCAGGGTTTTCTAAGGGATCTTCAGAAAACCTCTCTCTAATTTCACTTAAATTTCTAGCTTTCTGACGTTTAAATTTTGGTATGGAACTTTTTATTGCGTCAAGTGTTCAGAATCGATTAATAGGACACAGTTGAACACTTAATAAGTCCTTTCATCGTTATATATGTCTATTATCGATTTTTTCTGTTGGCTGTTGTACTATCAGATTTAATTATAATTCTCAAAATATATGCTTTTTCCGAATGTAATGGAAATGATTTCTGATGCACCATGGAGTTTTCCATATGGCTATCAGCAACGCCACCACATATTTTATCAAGTTTATGTTTAATATATTTTTCAATATCGCCGAAGCTGAATCTTGTTAGTGAACGTAGATCCGACATATTTTATACAAGTTACAATATTGAAAATGAATATTATGATGTTTGTTAAAGAATGAACGTTTGTGTGTGTGTATGTATGTGTCATAGAGAGTGAATGTATCGATCAGTACATGCCAGGTGCAGCCGATTCCTCTCTTTATCTCTGTTTCTCTCTCTCTGTCTCTCACATCCTCCGTTCATCTTATATTAGGCGCCTGTGTGTGTGTGTACACGTCTAGGCATAGAGAAAAGATCGGTAATAGACATAGAAATTAGAGAGAGGTTTTCTGAAGATCCCTTAGAAAACCCTGATCACGTGATATGCCAACACTGCGTTTGTACACTTTTTAATACTCTTTCCAATGCCGTTTGAACGAGCCCTCTATCACCTATCTAAGCTGCGTTATAGAGGTTTTAAAAAGCTCCTTTTTAAAAATTAAAAAATCGGGAGTTTGAGTTAGAGATTTACGTTTTCTTTTTAATCCATCTTTCAACCCTGAATTCGAATATCATATTCCAAAAAGTTTTCAGTCGCTGCATCTTTATAAAAACTCATTTAATTCAAAGCCTATAGCTCAAAAATCCTGGTTTTCTAAAAACCCTACTTCTGAAGTTTTTCGAAAAAAATGTCCGCTTACTAATTAGGCTTCTCAGGTAGGAAGGAGACTGATTGTGTATTATTTTATGAATCGATTTTAATTTAGAATATTGAATTATTTGCCTAACAGATGGTATACCTAGCTCAATTTGTAACTTTTCGATGCACGTGCCGCGACACGCTCCAGACATAATCAAAAGTGCCTCATTTTGAAGGCTTTGCAATCGATCAACACTAGCTTGAGTTGTATTACTATATACGACCGGTCCATACTTCGTAACGACCAAAATATAAGATAAGTATATTTGTCTAAGAGCCGGTCATGCCAGTGTCGTTTGCAAAGCTCTCAAAATTCTTTTACTTAGTTTATTAATTATGTAATTTATTTGTTCGTTCCAAGTTAAGTGCTGATCCAAAACGAGTCCTAGATGTTTATGCTCTGCCACTTGTTTTAGCATGTTACCGGTTAAGGATAGTGGATAAAACGTTGCGTTCCGCTCGATCGATGAAATGGTTATTTCTTCTGTTCGGTTATATCGACGGTTAAGAGGTTGTGACCGCCTAAAAAGCAATCTCTTGATATCACTCGATGTCAGACAGGTACGTAAAAGATTGTGACCGAAAGTGATATCAAATTTTAAATAGGTTCAGAAAAAGCATGATAACACCGCGTTTTGAGTATAAAACTGAAACTCCGTCTTCTTCTTGGAAGGAATTTCACAAAAGTAGGAATTCAACCCCTAGTTCATCGCGGGGAATTATACATATGGTTTGTCTTCGAGCAGCAGTGGTGTGTCATTTAAACAGTTGTATGAGTTCTTTCCGGAAAATGGGTCCACTCAACAAATACAAATAGAATGTTGTAACATTATTGAGATTACTCAATGTGAGAACAATCTGATATAGAAGATTCTCAATGGCTCGTCTCATTTGAGTCTTTATAATATACAATGTAGCTGTCGAATAGACTTTATAAATTGACAATGGCATTGTTGACACAATCAACATGAGCACTTGTGCAAATAACATTCGAAGTATTTTCAGATCAAGTTTTTGCCTTGTTTTCGATCGATTACCGGCGTTGCCGGCTGATGGTAAGTATTCAGTTCGACGAGAATGCATTTTGCGAATATTACGAAATGTCAATGCACCAAAAATCGTCATACCAACAGGTGGTATAGTACTAAACAATGCGAAAAATATAACACTGTCAAATATGTAACAAGGAAATGTGGTATCGGTACGGATATAACATACAACTGGCGAATTAGATACATGAGAATCATAACAATGGAATATATAGGTGTAAATGACACATCCGATCAAAGTAACAATTAGTATCAAACGATAAGCCACGGATAATCGACTGAAATTCCGTATACGAACATGTTCACTGCTCGATGCATATCGGTCAATACAAGCTAACATCATAAACCAAGAAGAAGTGAATTGTGACGGATCAATGATGTATAGACGCATTTTACAAAATGCCGATATTGCTGCCAAGTCAAAACCGAAATTTTGAATAATTTTCACTAAATAAGCAAAGTATAATGCCAGTGTACATGGAATCGCTGTTGCTGATAGATAGACAACGCACGGATTGCTACGTAACGTTTTCCGGGTGAAGACAATAATCGTCAACAGATTACCAATCGTGCCAAAGAACAGAAAGGGGAATGCAGCATAAAAATTTATTAATGCCGTTACACGGTCAATAGACGATATGGGATTATCGGTCGATGTGTTGTTAGTACTCATGATTTACTGCTAAACTTTTTTATTTCGAGTCTAAAGAAAATAAAAATAAAAACTCGAAAAAATATAACTACAGTAAAACCTCTATTAGTGAACACCTCTCTATAGTGAACACCTTCCATTTTGAACAAGGTCTCGGTCCGACAGAGCTATTTTTGCTGGAAATGCACCTCTCTAATGTGAACACCTGTCTATTCTGAACATGAACACTTCTTTACAGTCCCTCTAGCTGCTATAACCGCTCTAATGTGAACACACGTGCAATGATTTTTTTATCTCTGTCTACTGTCTATCACCTTTTTCTTACGTGTCACGACTTGTCATATTCTCTCACGGGCAAAAAAAGTACATTTTTCTATTCGCTCGTTCTCCTCTATATTTTATTATTATATTTTCATTTGCATATCCATGGATACAGCATAAGTTAAACTACATACATATATATATCTATGAAGTCCATTTCACTCGCTTATTGTTTCGGATTTCCTCGGCATATACAAAAATGTCTCATTTCCGTGATATTGAACGAATACAAATAATAATTTATACTATAATAAGATATGAAAGTAGATCAAGAAAAGATGATAACTCGGACGAGATAGAAAAGAAAAAGACAAACAACAATAGAAGATTTTTTTGTACAAAACTCTATCCTGTGTTGTATTTGAAGATTTTTTCAACTAAAAGACATTTAAATAAAAAGAGATGAACAAGAGAATGAATAGCTCTTATTTCACTCAGCACTAGTGTAGAAGCAGACATTCTGGAATTTTTTCTTCATTTTGCAGCAAAACATGCGTCGCCTCTCTAAAGTGCACACCTTCCATAGTGAACACTTTTTGGACGGTCCCAATGGTGTTCACAACAGAGAGGTTTTACTGTATACAACACAAAATGAAGCCTCTGGGTAATATAAGTAGACTTACAAGACAGAATATTAGATTGGGTGCGTATTATCACTGCCAATAGGCGAAAAGAAAAGAAAAATAGATTTTGATCACCAAATTTACTAATTGCGAAATGATCCCCAAAAAATTAGATATTTGGTCACGAAACATTATTCCTTGTAAAATAATCACCACAAATGAGACCATTTAAGAATATATTACTTGCTGAATAAATACACATCAGTGTTTTTTCTAGTGCTTTTACGAGGTTACTATGCAAATCAGTCAGAAAATAAAGCAGTATATATAACATAAAACATGAAAAGAAAAGTGATGACTGCTATAGAGTTAAGCGGGATACATCCAGGAAAATAATGAAGTTTTACTTCTTTTCCTAGTACCTTTTATTTTTGAAGTTATTTCAATTGTGCCTAGATAGTTGACTTCTTTCTCTGTGTCGACATTTGCGTTTCGATGCATATGACAGGCTTTCTCATTCGACCACTGTAAATGATTAGAAAAAAGTAGAAAACAACAGCCTTAAAAAACTGTCATAATTAATTGAACATTAGTTGATGAAAGAATATCTATAATTACAAAATCGTCGTAAATTTGAAAGAAACTCGCGAAAAGGATTGGTTAAGTAGATTCATAAAGCCGACCCTAGTGGATGTACTGAATGCAGGGTATCCGAAAAAATACCTTGCTACCAGTATGTCACAGGAACTTTTAGGTACTTTCGGGGACTTGTCAGATACCTGAACGGGTACCCTGCTGAAATATATGCAGTAATTGAGTACTTAAAGGTACTACTCAGGTACTCGCTTAGGTACTGGTATACAATGCTTCAAGGTACCCTGCTGAAAGAATCACAGTATGTTCACGATCGAACCTTACCGTCGCCATCTCTTGCATACGTTTTTTTATCATAGTATGTCTCGAAAATTTAAATCTGATTATTTCTTATTATTCAAGTTTTTATATAAATAAGATGATGAGGTTTGCGCTTTTTCGGGAATTGATTAAGCAGAATT